CTTTATTGCTAGAGATGGTGAGCATTTTTTCATGTGTTTTCTGGCCATTTGAATTTCTTCTTTTGAGAAAGTTCTGTTTAGTTCACATGCCCATTTCTTTATTGGTTCATTAGTTTTGGGAGAATTTAGTTTTTAAGTTCCCTGTATATTCTGGTTATCAGTCCTTTGTCTGATGTATATTGGCAAATATTTTCTCCCACTCTGTGGGTGTTCTCTTCAGTTTAGAGACCATTTCTTTTGATGAACAGAAGCTTTTTAGTTTTATGAGGTCCCATTTATCTATGCTATCTCTTTAGTTGCTGTGCTGCTGGGGTTTCGTTGAGAAAGTTCTTACCTATACCTACTAACTCCAGAGTATTTCCTACTCTTTCTTGTATCAACTTAAGAGTTTGGGGTCTGATATTAAGATCCTTGATCCATTTTGAGTTAATCTTGGTATAGGGTGATATACATGGATCTAGTTTCAGTTTTTTGCAGACTGCTAACCAGTTTTCCCAGCAGTTTTTGTTGAAGAGGCTGCTATTTCTCCATCGTATATTTTTAGCTCCTTTGTCAAAGATAAGTTGCTCATAGTTGTGTGGCTTCATATCTGGATCCTCTATTCTGTTCCACTGGTCTTCATGTCTGTTTTTGTGCCAGTACCATGCTGTTTTTATTGTTATTGCTTTGTAATATAGTTTGAACTCAGGTATTGTGATACCTCCTGCATTGTTCTTTTGACTGAGTATTGCCTTGGCTATTCGTGGCCTACGAACTGCCAAACACATTTTATGAAGCCAGTATTACACTTATCCCAAAACCAGGCAAAGACACCTCCAAAAAGGAGAACTATAGGCCAATCTCCTTAATGAACATTGATGCAAAAATCCTCAACAAAATAATGGCAAATCGAATTCAGCAACACATCAAAAAGATTATTCACCACGACCAGGTAGGCTTCATCCCAGGGATGCAGGGGGGGTTCAACATACGAAAATCAATAAACGTAATAAACCACATTAACAGAAGCAAAGACAAAAACCACTTGATCATCTCAATAGATGCAGAAAAAGCCTTGATAAGATCCAACATCATTTCATGATAAAAGCTCTAAGAAAACTAGGAATAGAAGGAAAGTTCCTCAACATTATAAAAGCTATATATGACAAACCTACAGCCAGCATTATACTTAACGGAGAAAAATTAAAACCATTCCCTCTAAAATCAGGAACCAGACAAGGATGCCCACTATCTCCACTCCTATTCAACATAGTACTGGAATTCCTAGCCAGAGCAATTAGGCAAGAAGAAGGAATAAAAGGAATACAAATAGGTAAAGAAACTGTCAAAATATCCCTATTTGCAGACGACATGATCCTATACCTTAAAGACCCAAAAAACTCTACTCAGAAGCTTCTAGACATCACCAATAGCTATAGCAAGGTAGCAGGATATAAAATCAACATAGAAAAATCATTAGCATTTCTATACACTAACAATGAGCAAACGGAAAAAGAATGTATGAAAACAATTCCATTTACAATAGCCTCAAAAAAAATCAAATACCTAGGTGTAAACCTAACAAAAGATGTGAAAGACCTCTACAAGGAAAACTATAAACTTCTGAAGAAAGAGATTGAGGAAGACTATAGAAAGTGGAGAGATCTCCCATGCTCATGGATTGGTAGAATCAACATAGTAAAAATGTTAATACTCCCCAAAGTAATCTACATGTTTAATGCAATTCCCATCAAAATTCCAATGACATTCATTAAAGAGATTGAAAAATCTACTGTGAAATTTATATGGAAACACAAGAGGCCACGAATAGCCAAGGCAATACTCAGTCAAAAGAACAATGTTGTTGTTGTTATACTGGGGCTTGAACTCAGGGCCTTCACCTTGAGCCACTCCACCAGTCTTTTTGTGTGAAGTGTTTTTTTTTGAGATAAGGTCTCTTGAACTATTTACCTGGGCTGACTTTGAACTGTGATCCTCCTGATCTCTGCCTCCTGAGTAGCTAGGATTACAGGCATGAGCCATGAGTGCCCGGCAGTGGCATATGCTTTAGGCTAGCTGAACACAGTGTCCCAATTGCAAGTGTCTGTTTTATTCAATCCTTGTTTTTAAGCCAACTTTATGGAGTGTTCTCACTAACATCCATCTTAAAATGTAAATGCCACCTGGAAGAAAATATGTCTGTGTAAAATAAACCTGGGTCCAACACCTGGTACAGTGCCAACCAAGTTCTGAGCAAATGCTTAACCCTTGGTTCATAATTTGAATGTGTCTGCTAGGCTGAAGGATAGTGATTTCCATCATGGATTTAATTCAATCCCGAGTTCTCACTCCCTCTCTTCTTCAGTCAAAATGGGAGGTGTGGGCCCATGCTAGTCCAATTTTCTGCCAAAAATAAATAAACAAAATACTTGCATAACCTCAACTTCTGGATCGATTTTTTTTTTTGTTTGAAACATAAGAGTAAAGTTTATTGGGAAAGAAATTTAGTATAACAGGATAAAAGTGGGGAGAAAAGGGAGTAGAGATTTCTTTTTAAACAAGAAACCAAAAAGACAGAGATTAACAGTTGACCACATTAAAAAGAAAATCAATGAAACAAAGTAGCAAAAGCAAAAAATGTAAGTTTTTTTTTTTGGTGGGATTGAGGCTTGAACTCTGGGTTTCATGCTTGCAAAGCAGGCACTCTACCACTTGAACCACACCTCCAGTTCATTTTGCTCTGGTTATTTTGGAGATAGTGTCTTGAGAACTATTTGTCAGATCTGGCTTCAAATCATGATCTTCCCAATCTCAGCCTCCCAAGTATTTAGGATTACAAGTGTGAGTCACCAGTGTCTGACCTAAAGTTTGTTAATCTTTTGTAAGTAACTCCTACCAATTAAAAAAAAATTAGTGAAATTGGTGACAGATAAGCAAATGCAGTCATGAAGCATGAAAAGAACACACAACAAAATAATCAGACATGAAAATTAAAATGGCATCATCTTGGTTAAAATTAGTAAGATCAATATTGCTAATTTGTAATTCTAGTGAAGATATGGGAAGAGTAAATCAGTGCAAGCTTGACTTCACTAATCTGTGAATCCATCTACATCTATCTAGTGTCAATGGTCACATCCAATCCAACAGTATGAACCTTAAGGGTTCATACTCAGCAATTGGTTAGGTTCAGGAATTGCCGCACAATAGCCTATGTACCTACCCTATTAAAAAAAAAAACTGTCTTGTTTGCTAAATACAGTCACTGTTCTAAATGCCTCACATGTATATATTTCAATCCTACACCAGCCCATGGAAAATGTTTTACAGATCAGGAAATTGAGGGAGAGAGGTGAAATAATTGTTCACGATCAAAGAACAGATGGCAGCTTCCAACCCAATTTGACCAGCAAAAGTTAGGCAGCAAAATTGGAATACAGTGGATAATTTCAATATATTCACTAGGTAAGATAGCCTGAGATTGGTAATAAATAAATTCTAAAACATGTAATCCTATTTTTGTTAAGAACAGTACTTAACCATATAAAATAGTACATAGGAAGGAAACATCACCAAACTACTTTGGAGCTTTGGAAAAGAGATCAATGAGGCAGCTTTAATTTTTATGGCATGTAACTTCTTAAGTTTTTTCTTATGTAATTATATACCAAAAGGTAAAATGATGGAAGCCTTTTTTTAACTAATGATAAAGGATTCAGGTATTCTAGGAACTTCAGTGGTTTGGCTCAATGTTTCCACAAAACATCTGCAGTGAGTGGGAGATAAGAGGGAGGGAGACAATGGAAGATGCTACACTGCTTGCTGGTTTTGAAGAGATGGACCAGGAACTGAAGAACGCAGATGGCCTCTAGAAATGGGAGACTAGCCAAGAAAACTTTTGCCATTGGAACCTCCCCAAAGAACTACCCTATACCTTCAGTCCAGTGAGGCTGGTTTTAGACTCTCATCACCAAAACTTTTAATAAACTTACAGTTTTAAGACTTTACATTTGTGGTAATTTGAGATGGCACAGGTGGTTTAAGCATGCAACACTAGATACTTGGGAAACTGAGACCAGAGGATAGTGGTTCCAGGATAGCCAGGGCAAAGTTTGAGACCCAGTCTCTACCAATAGCTGGGCAGTGGCTCCTGCTTGTTATCTCAAGCTACATGGCGATTTGAAATGGGAGGATTGTGGTTTGAGGGCTGCCCAGCCAAGTTTGCAAGACACCATCTACACAGGAAAAAGCTGGGTGTGGTTACATGTACCTGTCATCCCAGTTATGGCAGAAAGCTTACAATAGGATTGTGGTCCAGGTCCACCTTGGCAAAAAGCAAGGCTATTTCTCCAAAATAACCAGAGCAAAAAAGAACTGGAGACAGGCTCAAGTGGTGGAGCACCAGCCTAATAAGTGAGAAGCCCTGAGTTCAAAACCTGCACCACCACCAAAAAAAATAATAAAGTGGTCATTTGTGAAGGCATCAATAGGAAATTAATACAACACCTGACACATAATAAAATATATAGGTAATAGTTTTCAGAAATACCAGCACTAAAACTTAATGTAGGGCTACTAACAATATGAATAGTAGGTTATTTACCATCTGTGAACCTGAGAACAGCACTTAGTCTATAAGGAGATTCTTGAAGCAGGGATATGACTTCCCTCCCTTTCTCAAAAAACCAAAATCAACAAAATCAGTTCTATCAGAAAATTATTTTCAGAACACTTGCTTTTTAAAAGGCAGTTGTTGACAGAACAGACCCTAAACATCAAATTGTGTTCTCACGAGGCAAATTCCTCTTAGAAACCACACAAAACTAATATTTATCTCCCCACTAGACACTTTTTCTGTGGAAAGTTTAAAACCCCTAAGTTAAAGGCTCTAGAAGATGGACTCTACTGCCTTAGTGGTGTCAACCAATCTAGAACATGAAAAACTCAGTAAAACTGTGTTCCCACTACCATTGTAAAAGAAATCAGAAAGTGAAGAAAAAGTCTCATCACATAAAGGAATATAAAACTATTTATTGACCACTGTTCACCATTATTTACAATAAAGTAAACAATATACAGTTGGATAACATTCTGATACTACAAAGTTGTTTTCCTGGCTTCTGCAGAACCAGTAACCCAAATACTGCGAAGATTGAGCCTACATGTAAGGAATGAGTCTGGGGAAAGAAAAAGCATGCAGGTCAATTTATAAAATTTTCAAATTTATGCCAGCAGGTCCTAAATTGCCAGTATTTCTAACCAGCAGATTACATTTGCATGAGCCAAGTCTGAGATATTTCATGATTCCTAAACCTTAGTACAGATTTCAACTTTCTGTAAAGGAATGGCTCCCTAGAGGAACCTTTAAATGTGCACTTGGTCTTGTTTAGCTAATTAAAATAAACCAGGATTTGTCTAGTTTCCTCATCTGGCTGGGGAAGTTTCTGGTACTGGTAATAAGGAATTTTGCAAACAAACTATTGTATTTATGTGTCTATAGAAAACCAAAACAAGCCAGATGTGGTGATATATGCCTGTAATCCAAGCACTTGGATAGTAGAGGCAGGAGGATTTTAAGTTTGAGGCCCACTGAGACTATCTTATCTCCAAACAAAAAGAGAAAAGGCTGGGGTTGAAGTCAAGTGGTACAGCACTTGCCTACCATACTCAGGGCTCTGCCTTCAATCCCCAGCACCTAAAACCATGTAAATATTTTATGTATACGCCAACACAAACAAAAAGCCCAGAATGGTCCTTTCACATACCAGTTAAAAGATAAGTTCTGATTAATGACTGTAAAATTTCCTTAACATTAAAGCTATTCTCAAATGCAGAGGAAATATACCATGGTATCAAATAGTCTTTTCTGATAAAGGAAGCAAATACAGAAAGCTTTTGTTTTATCTGTTCAAAGTAACCAGTGCTATTGATGCAAAAAACAAAAACAAAAACCAACAACTCCCCCAATACTACTTTCAAAACCAACATACCAAACTTGATTTTTATTAGAATGTGGTTATCTTTTTCACACTAGTAATTCAAAAACCAAGACTCAGTCAGATTTTATATATATGTATAAATATATATAAAAAACAACGCAGACAATTTATTGAGCTTCATCTTCTGGACAAGAATGCCAAGTTAGTCTCTCTTCATAAAATGCAATTACAATTTGAGGACACTTCATATTTGCCTCTTTTGCCAGCACCAAGTCTGCTTCATCTGAATCTTTCCTGTTGTGAAAAAAAAAAAAATCCAGTTAATTGTTAAATCATATGCCAACTGAGATCATTCATTTAAGAAATAATTTAATTAAAAGGTACATAAGTGCTTCAGGAGAGTAAATGAGAGCTGTGGCTGTATTTTCCAAAACAGGTCATAGGTTTGCTGACCCTAGCTTTAAAACATTGCTACCAGAAGTAACTACAATCATACTTTCAGCAGATACTCACTATCTTATGATGGAAACTATAAAATCTTTCTTAGATATGGCTTCACAATTTTTAAAAATTGAAATATAACAATCACCTGGCACACTTACCATTTCATGAGAAACATCAATTCTCCACTGCTGTCTGTGGCACCAATTATTCGTTCAGGATCAAGACCTCTAGCAAAGCCTCTTGGTTTGTCAGCCTGTTTAGAAGATTAAGTGATTACTTACAAAAATGGTTCCACACAGCAAACTAAGAATAAAGTTCTAATATGTCTTTGTGAAATATAACTATCAAAACTTTCCAATAGTGAATGAAACAGAAACTAGACAAAGAGTCCATATTTGGTACTAAAACATGTGATTTCCACTAATTTTATATGCAGAAAAAATAAGTCAAGTGTCTGATTACTTGATGTAGAATGTATTAAAAGTTCTAAAAACATTCTGAATTCAAAGTTGAGAAAACAGACAATTTATTTCTTCTAATGACCCCAAGGGCAAACTTGTGTGGAATTACGAAAAAAAAAAACAAACCGAATCCCTATTATTTCTGATAATAATATTTATAAGGTTTTTTTTTGGGAGGTGGGGGTGGGACTAGGGTTTGAACTCAGGGTTTCATGCTTGCTATTGCTAGGCAGGCACTCAACTGCTTGAGCCACACCTCCAGTTCATTTTGCTTATAGCTAGGACCATTTAAGCTATAGCTAAAAACTGGAGCCCAGCTCTTGTTTTTAATACAGTCTTACTATGTAGTGCTGTTCAGGCTGGCCTCAAGCTCTTGATCTCCCTGCCCCACTCTCTCCAGTACTGGGAATACAGGTCTGTACCACCACACTTGATAAAGGACAGTCTGGGCTATAAAGTGAGGCCCTCCCTCAAAACCAAAAAAACACACCACTTCTAGGAATTAAGTATAAATTACATATTTTAAGAGCATAAACAAAATAAAAATAGTAAAAACTGAAACCTTATAAAGTACTCAGGTTCTCAAACGCTGGTCTGAGAACACTGGGAATCCCTAAGACTTTCCTTAGAGGTTTTCTAAGGTGTTTTCTTTTTAGGTACCTGACTTTGGACTGTGTTCAGTATTGTACCTCCACCAAAATATATAACTACAATAAATGTGTAAGTAGAGCTATCTGTCTTCTTTAAGCTATTGTAGATATACAAAAATGTAAGAAGACACTCTTCTCAACTTTTTTTTTTGTGGCAGTACTAGAGTTTGAACTTAAAAGCCTCATGGTAAGCAGGTACATTCTTCCAGCCCTTAATTTTTTTTTTCCCATGGAAAGTTACACTTAATATGCAACTGGTTTTTTAATGGTTATTGCTTTATCTTTTTTGGTCCTTTGAGACAATGTCTTGGTATGTAACCCAGGCTGTCCTTGAACCCACAGATCTTTCTGCCTCAGCCTTCCAAGTGCAGGATTACAGGCATGTACTACCATGTCTGAATTTGAATTGTTATTCTGGACAGAATATAAGCATTTTGGAAAATGAATTTCAAATTTCCAATACAATAAATATTCATAGCTATAAACTACAAAAATAAAAAGCTCTTTGAGATCCTCAAAAATTTTCTAGAGGAAAATTTTCAGTTTTTGAGAACTGATAATATCAATAAATTATAACTACCAGAGCTTTACATCAATGTACCAGGTTCTGGAGTCAGACTGCCTGGGTTAGAATGGCTCTATCCCTTTAAGGTCTGTGGCTTTAGGCAAGCTAATTAACCTCTGTGGTTCAGATTCATTATCTATTAAGTAATTACAGTATCTACCTCATAGATATTTCATAGTATATGAAATGCAAATTAAGCTATTCAGCACACTGGCACATGGGAAGGGTTTAACACAGGCTAAGTATTACTATCAAAGTTGTGCTTCTTTTATGCATGTAATTTATTTTCAGAACCCAATTTGTAACTAATCTATAAAATGGGAACACCCTGTATAACCATTGCCATGAAGATTTAATGAGCCATCTGTAGTTTTTTAGTAGCTAGTTTAACTGCAAATTCATATCTTTTACCAATTTAATCTGCATTAGATGCTTGGAGCTTGAGCCTAGAAAATATTTCAATGCTAAGACCTTCCCCCAAATGACCATGGTAGACCAAGTATAATCTCAGTTTTAAAGTCAAGAGTAGAAGTTACCTGATTTGCTCAAAGTCACAGAGACATTAGTGCAGCAAAGACCAAATCAAAGTACATGTGCAACGAATGAATCAAATGTCTCAATACATGCCTCCAAATTATAGCTACCACTATTACTAAAGATTACATATGTCAAAGTATTGTTTTGTAATACAGATCACATGTGAAGTACAAATAAGAGGTACTTTCTTGATTGCCCTTACTACAAGGTAAAGCATTTTAATGATCCAGTACCAGTACTGTTTGTATTTAAAATTGCTAAACTTAGATCATAGGCAATGGGCTTCATCACATACCAAATCCATGACCAAAAATAGCACTAGCACAGTATTTTCAAGTACTTACTGCACATTTACACAGTGTAGGCTAACCCATGCTTATCTTTTTTGTCCTGTGTATCAAGCATTTATTAAAAGGCTTAATGGTATTTTAAAAGTACCTGAATTTTAGGAACTATCTTAAAAGTACTTAAAAAAAATCAAGCCATCACCTTTAATAAAAAGCCAGTCTGGTTGGCAATATTTTATACTTACAGCATCTCTTTTCTTCTTTGACTTGCTATCATCAGATTCACTGTCAGATAAAGATTTTCTTTTTGTTCCATCTTTTTCTTTACCAGCTTTTTGAGAATTAAGAAATGCTTCAATTAACTCTGGACAATCTAAATTTTCTTCAGGCTCCCAAGTATTGTCAGCACTGTATTTGGTTAAAAAAAAAAACAGTTGATTAATTAAACATGGTTCACCATCACTATCTGGAACTATTTATAGTTATGTGAAAAAAGGTTCCTTGTGCTACTGAGAGTAACCATTCCCTCCTCCCCATGTTCTTCTGATCTGTTTAGATCTACTTCTGTCCCTGCCTTTCCTGCTGTTAAGTAGGCAATCTGCTATTTTACCTCAAAGTTAACTGCACCGGACTCCAATAGAATCATTATTGAAGCTTACATTTTCCCCAGACTCACAGACAACCCATTTTAGAACTTTTTGTGTTTTTAAAACCAGATTCCCATAGCATGCACAAGGCCCTTGGTTCAACCACCTGTTTGGCAAAAACAAAAGCAAAAAACGCAGTAAATACAACCCACTGAGCCTAATTCCAACCCCCATTATTATATGTACATTATTATGTCCAGGCTCAAGACATTTTCAAATGTGAGTCAATGTTTTCAACATCTGATGGGTGCTCAAACTGAGAAGTGATATAAAGCAAGGGCTTCTCTTTGGTCTGTAAACAACTTTTAAAAAATATTCTTAGAAGGTTGGGAAAAAGTTAGAAATGAAAATTACATAAAATTTGAACTTCAGGGCCCACAAATGGTTACAAGAATACAGCCATGCCCATTTGTTTAATGTATTATCTACTGCTGTGTACTACATCTGCAGAGAGGATGGCTCAAACTTAGTTGATATCCTAAGACCCGAAAACTGGCAAACCTGTTTTTGGGTTGACAAGGACTGAAGTCTCCAACCCAGTATTATTTTCAGTACATAGCCTTTTTACACTATCTAGTATCTTCTATTCAATTCCAATTTCCAAATTGCTATAAGGAGACATGGTCTGGCTATGTAGCACAGATTGGCCTTCAATTTTCAATGCTCCCAGTGCTGGGGTTACAGGTATCTGCCACTACACCTGGCACTGGGCATTGGAAGTGGTTTTAAATATGGATAGTGGGTCAAGTATTTCAAAATCATGTGACAATCATATGCACCATCTTCACCATGCTTGAGTAATTACTGAAACTTTTTTTTCTTTTGGTGGTACTGAGGTTTGAACTCAGGCTTCACTTGCTAGACAGTTATTCTACTACTTGAGCCATGCTTCCAACCTCTTTGCTCTGGTTATTTTGGAAATAGGGTCTCAAGTTTTTCTCAGGCAGGTCTGGACTGTGATCCTCCTGATCTCAGTCTCCCAAGTAGCAAGGATTACAGGCATAAGCCGCAGGCATCTGTCACTCATCCATTTTTAATTGTCATTGACCATGGAGCTTTACTCCCCATTTTTGTGGTATAAAGATGAACATGACTAAATTAGCACAACACACACAAATATTAACAGTGTATTACTTGCATGTTTAAGTTAGTGATAGGGCAGCTAACATAATCAAGAGCAATTCAAAACAAGGAATATCAGGAAGCATAACAAATGTTCAATCCAGGGCTAGAAGTATGGCTCAAGTGGTAGACTGCTTGCCTAGCATGCCCAAGACCTGAATTCAAACCCCAGTGCCACAAACCCCTGAAGTTCAGGCTGTCTTCCTCAGAGATTAGGATATTGTAAACTTAGTGTTGGACCTAGATTATTTATGAACACTTTGGTTTCAATGTTCTTAGTGTCATCTGTTTGGAAAAAAACTGTAGGCCAGATATCTAACTACATTTAGAATGCATAGTAAACTCCATTCTATGTCTATAATTTTATAAATTTGACTCTCCAGGGCAATAAACTACACTCCAATTGCCTGGTTTCAACTCTATGCTAAACACTTGGTCCGTGAGCCACCATGCCCAGCTTTTAAGACTTGCCTTTCAAGATACTCTGGCATTAAAGACTACGGGAAAATTGATGAAAGAAATAGCTTAAAAACAAATTATAAGGCTAATTAAGTGCAACTAAAGGTACAAAAAAAGCACTGAGGTCTCTTACTCTGTAAATCCCTTCCACTTCAGGAAATACTCCACTTTCCCATTTACTACACGCCGGTCCAGTACTTTCTCCACCACAAATTCTTCAGGCTCTGCCTCTTCAACTTTTTTACTTTTTCCATTCTGTTTCTTTCCCATTTTTTGCTAAAACAAGAGAAATTAAGAATTTTTTTTTTTAAATTGAGTGAATTTTAAAGGACATATTGTTAAATTGGACACGCGAATTTTTTTACTTCTATAGCATTGGGAAGACATTTTCTGAAAAGTCAACAGATTAAAAAAAAAGGAATGCTTTATTCCATTGATTTAGCTCAAATTTATGACCCAATACCCTTCACTGAAATAAAATAAAGTATCTGGGAAATAAAGTTATCTTTCCTCAATCTTATCTCTTAAGTAGCCTACAGGATCAATTTTACCAGTTTTTACTGATTTTAAACAAAGCACAGCAACAGGTAACTGGAAAGCACTACAGAATGCTAGAGAACAGAGCAGTGACAGGCGTAAGTGGACATATGGCAGACATTAAGCAAAAGGACCGGGGGCATGGTTTTAATTGGTAAAAACAAGCTTGAGGGCCTAAGTTCAATACTCATTGCACAAAAAAGCCCCAAAGAAACCCAACTCTGATTACCAATTGGAGGGCCAACCGTGGAGACTATGTTAAGTTTAATGCTGTTACTTCAAGAGGCCAACACACTGAGACTTTAATTCTCTAATGTGACTGGGAAAAAGATTGATTTTTCATTTCTTTCTTGGTTTCTGGAGGGAAAAAATCAAAACTGGTAAGCAATCAAATTTACTTTAGTGGTTTTTTTTGTTTTGTTTGGGTGGTACTGGGGTTTGAACTCAGGGTCTTAGGCTTTACCACCTGAGCCACTCCGCCAGCCCTCAAATTTACTTTAAAAGAGAGGAATATGTGGCTCTTTTTTATTTTAGCCTCTGTTCTCTCTTGCGCATCCAGCTATTTCTAATAACTCATACAGATTTGTCATAGGAGGGAGTGAAACTGGGTAAATACGCTAAAGAGACAAAAAAAAAATCACCCAATGTAATGTGCTTAGTAATTATTTCATCTTAATGTGCTATTAAAAATTTACAACAAAAAAATCTCAACTGCCCAATCACTATAGCTACCCCAGAAGAGAAGTATACAAACAGAAAACAGTGATAGGACAGCAATGCCTCAAGACTGCAAAAAGACATTTAAAGCTCTGTAAACGTATCAGGCCCTCCCCCCCTTCCCCCAATTAAAGAGAGGTGCAGCAAACCCCTGATTTTGTTGTATACTATTTGCAAGTCAGGCTTTATGATGATTTTCATTGGTCAAAATATTTTATGACTGGATCCAAATAATTTTCTGGCTCTGTACAGTACAAGGTGGGAAAAGCAAAGCAACTGGAGTAGACAGACATTCATAAGATACTGATCCTAAATGAAGAACAAAAGAGCTACTGTCCATGAAGAGAAGAGGCTAACAGACCGAAGATGTCAAAACTCTGCCCCAACAAAATGATAAAAAAAAAAAAAGGGAAAATCAAGGACTGGAATAATTGTGGCCTGTTTTGTAAGCAAGAAGTCCTGAGTTCAAACCCCAAGTTCACCTTTAAAAAAAATAAGGCTGGCAGAGTGGCTCAAGCAGGAAGAACGCCTGCCTAGCAAACATAAGGCCAAGTTCAAACCCCAGTGTTGCCCTGAAACAGTACTTTAAAAAAAATTCTTATTTACTAACAGGGAATTCATAACTTTCAAGTGCTCATTTTTTTTCAAGATACATACTTGGCTTTAAGCCAGCACTTTCTCCAAGCATGGGGTGGATTTTGAAGCCAAAATATCCTGCAGTTTTTAAGATACTCAGTTTTCATTTAAATTGCAGTACTAATGAACTTAAAAATGAAAAGTTAAATTTAAACCTTTTGAAGAGATCAATCTGTGACCTTTACAAAACAAGAAAATACTTCAAAACCAATATAGATACAGAAGACTACTAAATTGTACGCAAAAGCAGCTTCATTTTAATAAGCTTCAATATGTTTGCTTTCTGTATCTAAGTGCATTCTCAAAGCCTTATGTCATGGTTAGTGCATTCCTTTTGTATCCAATTCTTGAAGAATACAAACAATGAAGTTAACTCAATTATCTTTGGTTTGGTTTGCTGACTATGGAATTTGAAGGTCAGCTTAATCCTGAAGAGGTACAGAAGATGCTTCATTCTCTTATCACTGATGGCTTTGACCTATATAAAAATGTGCCAGCACTTCCCCAAACAGCCTTTACATTACATACCTCAATCTGCTCTGTAGTGTTTGCACAATCTAATGATGGCACAAATCAAAACCACCAACTTGCTTTTTTTCTTTTATTGAATAACGCACGGCCTCCAGCAAGCTAGGCAAGTGTCTACTGCTTGAATCACTCCACCAGCCCAACTTGCCTTTTTCAGTGTGAAACCCAAGGTGAAACATACAGATCAAAACCCAAAGTTTTGCTTTAGTCAGGTGTTAGCACTCATCTTTACGTTTGATTATTAATGCAATGTGTTAAAATTAAATATGGTGGGAAGCATAACTTTGAAATTTGATTTTTTGTAAATATTCTTTTTTTTAAAAACATAACTTACATTTGTGTAGCTTGTTATGATACCCAGTAACACAAACTTTGGGTTTAAGAAATTACTGGAGAAATAAATTGCTCAGAAGAGCTAGTCCTCTCTCCTTCCTAAACATATTTAATTTTTTTGTTCATAAAGCTACACCAAGCAATAACTTAAATTAAAAACAGGACAAAGTGACCAAAGATAGCTGAAAGATTTAATGACTTCCGATCCACTTTAGATGAGGAATGTTCAGGGTGGTAATCTTCAGACTCTAATCCTCTCTAGGTGCACAGGGTACCTGGTTTTTAAAACCTGCCATTAATACTAATCTGTAGAATTTTAATGCAGGTTTAAGGAAAATTATACCCATCAATAAAGCTTTACAGCTTTTCGGTAACATTGTTTCACATTACATAAATGTGTATTTTAATTTCAACATAGAAATACTCAGCAAAAGTCATATTGTGCTGTCTTCAAGATCAGGTTTCTTGGACTTGAGGTGTGAGCACCTGCTTTGTAAGCGCCAAAGCCCTGAGTTTAACCCCACCGGGAGAAAAAAAAAAAAAAAGTTAGGTTTCTTTAAATGCATTAAGACAGTATTAAGCCAAGTCAGTAAATATCTCAATGTTAATTATTTCCGTTTTTTTGTCCCTAATCCCCTCACCCAAAATATCACTGGGGAACTTGGGGGAGCTACAAAGTTATAATTTCGGGGGCAGGGGGAGGAAAGTGACAACCCTTGAGTTAGATCCTTACACACTTTAGATTTTCATTAACTTACCAAAGTAGTTTTATTGGAGGCCATTTTTAATTGTAGACTTGAAGGGCTATTGCTAGAAAAATGCAAGACAGAAAGTTTTCATGACACAAAAATGTAGCTAACGGCAAGTTTTATTTGAATTTCAACCCCTGGTTAGTTATCGCCCATCTGAAGTGGATACAAATATAGAGCAGCAGGTCTGAGGGCCTGCCCAAGTCATTAGTGTTTTGTGTCTGAGAATATCAGTGTTCTACCCAAGTTAGTCCAGAAAAACCTAGTAGGGGCACTGGTACCTAGGACAACCTTACGTAGGCAAAACAAGACAAGCATTTTCGCAGTCTAAATCTCATAATAAATTTAATACTCAATGTTTAAAAGGGTAAACCTTTTGTTTTTCAGCCAAGCCACTAGATCACCCGGAGTTTGGCGTCTAGTCTGGTGCCAGCCTCCCCCCGCGATGATTTCCAAAGCCCTTCCTTCCACCCGCTGCCCCAGGCCCGGCCCCTCCCAGCGGCTCCCCAGGCCCAGCGCCGCCCCCACTCGAGCGCGGCCTCGTGGTCAGCCGCCGCCGCCGCCGCCGCCGGGGGAAACAAAGGCTGCGGAGGGGCTCAAGGGCACTGCGCCGCGGGTCCGCGCCTCCCCCCCGACTCCCGCCCCCGGCAGCGGTGGCCACGTAGCGGAGCGCGCCGCAGCCCTAGGGCAGCAGAGGCCGCGCGGGCCGGGCCAACGCACCGCCCTCTCTGAAAGCCCGGCCCGCCGAGCGGTGCAGCGGGGACGGGGTTGGGGGGAGGGGAAGGGAGTGCCTCGCTTTGTCTAGAATTAGGCAGCTGTCACCACGACCCTCCGCCCTCCCGAGGACAGGGCTGTCCTCCCAGTTAACTGCTGGGGCGGCGTGGCGCGGCGCCAGGCTGGCCACGGGGCCTCCGCTCCCTCGGCCTTACAGTCCTCCCTGCAGCTCCCATGCGCAATTCGGCAGGGAACGGGGAACCGGGGGGTCCCCGGGGCGCAAGCAGCATCTTAAGCACCAGCACCGGAGCGCGACAGAGAGAGAGAAAGCAAGCCACCGACTTCACCACCTCGGATGCTCCGGGTCGCGGGTCCTGCAGCGTCTCCGGCCTGCGCGCCTCCAGCTCGAGTCACATCCGAGGGGAGGGGGCTGGGGCGCAGCGCGGGCCACGGGGAGGAGGGGTGACGCCACCCACGCCGGGCGGCCGTGAGGGGCGGGGCGGGCGCGCGGCGGTGGGAGGGGCCACGGAGGGATTGGGGGTGGAAGCCGCTGCACTGGTCGTTCCTGGGCGGGGCGCCTGGTGTCCCCGGAGGGGAGGATCGCGGGGGGAGAAGGGCGGGAACAGTGACCCGAGTCCTCCTGGCGGAGGTTTCTCTGCAAAGCGGAGCAGCGGCTGGCGCCAAAACCGAGCTCCGCCCACTTCCTCGCCCTAGGGCCGTGGGGGAGGGGGTGGAAGCAGGAATTGGGTGCTAAGAAAAGGGCTCCCTTTTGGACCATCCTCTGAATAGGTCTCCCGAGCCTGAAGGGTTCGCCTCAAGGCCGTTGGTCAAGGTTCAATGGGTGCATCGCGAAGTGTAATTTGACTAAAAGTCGCTGCGGGTATTTCCGGAAGGGGCCAGTCAGTCCTCTGTGCTGGGGTGGCAAAAGGGAAAAACTACGAAGATTTTTTTTTAAGGCGGGAGCAGGGTTGGTGGGATTAGCAAAGGTGTAGCTTCAGGGAGTGCTTCTCGGGTCGTGGGGGCCGGATTTTAGAGCTGCCGATTAAGCTCCACCCGACAGCGTTAATTTCAAACTGCGCGACCGTTTCTCACCTGCCCTGCGCTAAAGCGGTGGGCCGGACTTAATTCCGAGAGGAGTAACACGCTAGGACGCGAGCCTTCCGCAATTCACTATATCTATTTGCGCAAGTGACGTAAAGCCCTACCGCTACGTACAGAGGGGGCGGAGCACGTACTTGGCGTAAAGTGGGCGTAGCGCATTCCCGCCATTGGCGGCGGTTAGGGCGTTTACGTAACGGCCTGACGTAGGGGAAGACGCGTTAGACTGGGGGAAGGTTCTAGAAAAGCGGCGGCAGCGGCTCTAGCGGCAGTAGCAGCAGCGCCGGGTCCTGAGCGGAGGTTCTCCTACCGGTGTTGTTTCTCAAGCAGCAGCAGTTCTCATTACAGCGCCAGGACGAGTCCGGTTCGTGTCCGACCGCGGAGATCTCTCTCGTCTCGCTCGGCTGCGGGAAATCGGGCTGAAGCGACTGAGTCCGCGATGGAGGTAACGGGTTTGAAATCAATGAGTTACTGGAAAGGGCATGGCGAGGCCGTTGGTGCTGCAGTGGAAGCCGGCCAGCCGCCTCCTTGGGAGAGCGGCAGGAAAACGGCCGCTTCAGCAGCGGTTGGCCTCGGGGTGTTTTTGAGAGGGCCGAGCGGAGGCCTGGCTGTTCAGACACCTTCCCCACCCTCGCGCAGCCTCCCGGCGCCATTTCCCTTCCCCGGGGTGGGGGATGGGGAGCGTTCGCGGCCCGCCCGGCTTCAGTGAAAGTGGGGCGCAGAAGCTGGGGCTGGGACTCTGTTTAAAGCACGCTGTTCTGGGGGCCCGGGCGCCTCCGCCTTTGAGCGTTTCGGCGGGCTTCGGGTCCTCGTGAGCGAGTCTGCGGAGCTTCCCCTCCCCCGCTCTCCCGGGAACCGGATTTGGCGGCCGCCATTTTCCCGTCTCTTTTTCCTCGCATCGTTTTCCTTTTAACGCTCCCGATTCGACTAGTTGGGCCCTTTTATCGCAGCACCGGAGCGGCTAGCGACTTTTCTTTGTCCTCGGGTCGTTTCCGTGTCCTTCCGAGGTGGGGCTGGCGTGCTTTGTGAGCTTGGCTCTTAGCGCCCTGCGCACCTCATTAAAGGCGCCCTGCCTTCCCCTCGCTGAAATGGCGCCATTGCGCTCCGAAGCCACAAGGCGGGCGGGAGGGGGAGGGGGTTCCCGGGGTGCGGGCGCCGACGCGAGCCGCGCCTCGGTAACGGCCTGGCCTGCGCTGCGGCGGGAGCGCTGGAGCGGCGCGGCTCGAGGTGGAAGCGGGGCCGCGGCGCCTGCTCGGCTCCAGTCGTTTAGAAGATGGACATTTCTCCTAGCTGTACTTTGTTTCAAACCTGGCTCGGCCCTGTAATGCGTGCACTGCTGCACAAGATTGCTTCAGGTCCGGGCCCGCTGTCTGTCTGAACTTTGTCACTTGCTTTTCTCATTTGTGTTTGCAATCATGGTTGATCATTACATTCGTAAGCATAAGATTGCAAGTGAAGGGGTCTACCCGATTATTTTCTTTGACCCTAAGCACGTTTATAAAATAACTTTGCTTATAATCGATAGTGGACATCGGTAAGTTTGGAAAAAAATGAGGTAAGTAATGAGCTTTTGCTTTTTGTTAGTGATTTGTAAGAATTGTCGTAGATGTATATTTGTAGTTTAGTTGGGGTTTGGGGGGGGAGTTAAGCGTTGACAATGAGAACACAACACAACTAGCCGGAATCTCCAAATACCAATCTTGCCAGATAACCATTTTAAAGGATTTACTTGGAATGCCTTAAGAGCTAAATTCAGTCCGTAGTAATTCTCAGATTCCTAAGAACTGCAGGAAGATTGAATTGGCTTACAATATTTTGAGTAGTGAGGAGACTGTTCATTGAGGGATAATCCACAGAACCAGGTTGAGAACAGTAATTTTTTTTAAAGTTAGTAGTCAAAACTAGGCTGCAGTCTTAACAGTTGGTTCAGGATATTATGACCAATTCTAGTTTATGAATCTTCAAAATGTTTTTTAGCCTCGTTACTTGTAAACTGTGCTTAATCCTTCCAAGTACCCAAGTGAGGGACTGCTTAATACAGTACATCTGTTATGCAAAAAACTTAGGACTAAGCTAGGATTTCCTTTTTTGACAACTATTTTGTACTCGTTTGTCAGATGGCCAATAAAATAAGTTCGGTAAGCAGGAACTTCGTTAGTGAGTTGGAAATGGTGGTGGTATGATAATGAAACTTTTTTTAAGACTTTCGAAGTGTGAGAAGTGTAGATAAACGTGTTTTACAAAGTTCATGTGATAGTTATATTGTCCCCTAAGTATCAATTATAGGAGCGATGGCAGGAAGAAAAATGTTATTTTTTGAGTGTTAAGACATTTAAGCTTCAGGTGCTATTGAGCATACAAATGAGTTTGGGTTACCAGAGGTTATTTTTATGCATATCTTGAATGTTCAGGTTTTTTCTAATAGACTTTGTTTAGAGAAACATGCTTTAGATATTTTTGGGAGAATGCTAAAGAGTAACCACCAGAGGGGGCAGTTTCCGGGAAGCAAATTGGCGCTTCAGGTTCCTGAAATGAATGGTAAACTTGGAATAATTAATAAGGAACCAAGACTTATTTTTAAAAATATTAGTAAATATATAGCCTGTGTTTGGGATGTAGAATTCATGAAAATTTTGGTAAGAATCTTTAACCCCTCGGTGACCATGGGATAGATTTGTTTCTCAAAGTTTGAAAATGCTCAGTAATGCTAAATTTAAGATAATTTAATATGAAGTTAATATAGATCAAGCATTAGTGACTTTGAAAGTTGTATAGTTCAGCTGAGGCAGTTTTTTTTTGGTGTAACACAACTAATAATGCAGTTTAACATATGGTTTAAATTTGATGTAAGTTTTTTTTTTCCCCCCCAGAAAACTTTAGAAACTGTTCCTTTGGAGAGGAAAAAGGTACTCTGCCAGCAGGTCACCTCATATTTAAGAATTTAATTTCCTGCATACAAGAAAAAAATGTAAATAAAAATTGAAATGATATTTTCCTTTGCAGAGAGAAAAGGAACAGTTCCGTAAACTCTTTATTGGTGGCTTGAGCTTTGAAACCACAGAAGAAAGTTTGAGAAACTACTACGAGCAATGGGGAAAGCTCACAGACTGTGTGGTACGTTAATTTTAGGAGTCTGGCTGCAGGTTCTAGCTTTAACTGTTGGACTTGTTAAATGAATTGTACAGAAAACAGTAACAGTGTTCATAGTAGAAATTCTATTCTACTTCAGGTTGCTAGTTTATAACAAAAATAGTGAAATTAAATACTGAAGTTCCTTTTTGGTTTTAAAGGTTATGAGGGATCCTGCAAGCAAAAGATCAAGAGGATTTGGTTTTGTGACTTTCTCCTCCATGGCTGAGGTTGATGCTGCCATGGCTGCAAGGCCTCATTCAATTGATGGGAGAGTGGTTGAGCCAAAACGGGCTGTAGCAAGAGAGGTAAGCAAAACAACTGATTTGTGCAGTAAGCATAAAAGATCCTGAATCTCAGAATGTAGGTTTGGGGGAAATTTTTTTCTTAATGCTATGTTGGGTTTCTGGACGTTTTTTTCCTTTAAGCTAATTTAATTTTTTCAAAAGACCAGGTTCTCAAACATTTTAAGAGCTGTAAGATGGGTTACTTTCATGCCTGTGATTTTTTTTTTTTAAAGAGTAACTCTCCCATATTTGCAGGAGTCTGGAAAACCAGGGGCTCATGTGACTGTGAAGAAGCTCTTTGTTGGTGGAATTAAAGAAGATACTGAGGAACATCACCTTAGAGATTACTTTGAAGAATATGGAAAAATTGATACCATTGAGATAATTACTGATAGGCAGTCTGGAAAGAAAAGAGGCTTTGGCTTTGTTACTTTTGATGACCATGATCCTGTGGATAAGATAGTGCGTAAGTGTCTATGGGAACTAGGTCTGTGTGGCTCTTGCATATATTTAATTTTGGGTATTTTAATATCTGCGACATTTATGGTTGATTACTATAATTTGTGTTTTAATGGAGTCTCAATTTTTCATTTCCAGTGCAAAAATACCACACCATCAATGGTCACAATGCAGAAGTGAGAAAGGCATTGTCTAGACAAGAAATGCAGGAAGTCCAAAGTTCTAGGAGTGGAAGAGGAGGTAACTTACATGTTTTTTTTTTGTGTGTGTGTCTTTTCCTATTTTGTCTTAAGTGTTTACTACTAACCAGGGTATTTATCGTAGGGAACTTTGGCTTTGGGGATTCACGTGGTGGTGGTGGAAATTTTGGACCAGGACCAGGAAGTAACTTTAGAGGAGGATCTGGTAAGTTCAAGTTCTAAGTGTTCGAAGGGTAAAATGTGCTCAATTAAAA